GGCCCCGCACGGCCCCGCACGGCCCCGCACGGCCCCGCACGGCCCCGCACGGCCTCACAACCCGCCCGCACCCTGCGCTCGCACGCTCGCCGCGCACAGCCCGGCCTCCCCTCGCTCCCGAGCCCGCCGCCGCCTCGCACCCAACTGCTGCGCCCAAAGGCGCCTCTGCCAGCGCCTCTCGCCCTCCGGCCACGCATGCTGCTGCTGCTGCTCTCAGCCGGCTCTGCAAATCAAAGAGCTGCTCCTTCAGAGCTCCTGGGCTGCGAACTGACCGAGCAGCTGCACTGACAGGCACAGAGGAACTAATTTATGGAATGCTGTCACCTCAGTTGATCTTGTCATGAGAGGGGTTTGCAGTCAGACTTTCTGAGGTCACAAAGGAATCCCCATCTCTGTCGCTGCTGAAATGTCTCTGTTCCATACTGCAATGTGAATAAGAGGCAGCATTCTCAGCGGGATGTGTAAATGAGGTGTGCTTTCAGCCTAGAACTCACTTTTCTACATGTTTCATTCCCATCCTCACTTTTCCCAAAACACTCATGGATGATCATTCACCACCTTCCTGAAACAGTAGAACAGCCGGGAAGTAAAACAATAAGTCAGGAGTAGTAGAAGAGTATTTCAAATCATCGAAGTGCTCCTTCACACCCACCTGCCCCATTAAACTAATTGGTCCCTTCCCTTCACGTTAGTAACATGTCAAGCATCCACAAGAACAAATGCCAGCATTTAGCAATGGTGCAAGTGTTGGAGGAGACACTTGGAAGACTGAGCTCCACATCAGGTTTCTCTCCCGACACTTGCTCTAGAGACACCGTTTCCTTTGGGGACAGGAGCCTTTCAGCATCTTGAGGAACTCCATGGGCTGAACAAGTTCGGCACAGGCCACAATCAGGGCATGTGAAAGGCGAGAGTGTCTGTTCTCTGAGGCTCACATCACATCCATTTTCCTTTGCAAGGGAAGAACAAGGAACAGGGAAAGTGATGAACAAAGCACAATAAATGACAGCAGTCTTGCAGTGGGTGATAAAGGAGAGCAGTGGGGAGCTCAGATCTCTCCAGTTTCTCATTGATGGGCCATTAGGAAACTGCTGTGAAGTGCCTCGGGCCAAGCTCAGCCAGTGGCAAGAAGGGATAAGTGCATTAGGAGAACAAAGGAGGTTTGACGGGGATTTATGGGATTTGGGAGCACAAATAATGGAATGCTTCTGAATCTGTGCAGTCTTGATCGTCGGAGTGGTCCAAGGGTCGTCTGGATTTGGGGATTAGCAGTGACCTCACAGAGTTGAGGACACCTCGGGAAGGTGAGAAAGCCCAGTGGGGAAGAAGCCCCTGAGCTGCCAAATGCCCAGGTCTGGCTGTGCAGCAGAGCTGGCCGTTCC